ACAATGGAGGGCCAAATGTCTCCAGTGTTTGTTAGAAATTCCAGCATCGGGGAACAGAGGGAAGTGAAAACAGTAAATGCAGTGTCACTGGAGGATCATCTTGGGGTATGAGTGTCATGCACATACGTATCCCTTAGCACCAGGGTGTTTTTTCTGTGCTAGCCAGATTGTAAACTTCTGACTTTTTAAGCTGCATTAGGAGGCTAGCCTGTACCCTCAGTGGCTCTCATAAGGTGGCTACAGAGATTCCTTCGGGAAGTTAAATTTTCAGTGTGACCAGTAGCTCAGTTATATAGCAGAAAAGGACACAGACCAAGGTTCTACTTTTCCACTTGCTTCAGCCAGACTTTGGGATTTTTAAATATGTTTCAGCTTATTTACCCCTATTTTAGGCTTAATAATCTATACCCTGTTTCCAGAGTTGTGGTGAGTTTTAAAGTATTTATGTCAAAGGGATAGTGTTGCACTTTGAAATTATGTTTCATTAGAATAGTGCCTACGTTTCAGTTCACTAAATTTTGATTCCATTAATATTTCTTTGCTTATTAAAAATGAGGAAGTTTTACTTTTCTCTTCATCAGGTATCAGGTGTTTTGACCACAAGTGAAATTGAATAATTCATTTTAGCTCTCCAAGAATTCTGCTTTCTTATTTGGCAAGGTTCCATTTGAAAAAAAATGTGCTTTCAGTTTCAGGTTCTATGTGAGGATCATATTCTTTTGGGTAAAAAATATGGAAAAGGTGGCTGGTTTTCAGAAATACTCAATTGCCCTGCTAGAGCTCACCCAGGATAGAAATAGAGCAATAAAGCCAGAAATCACAGCACGGCTTCTATTTCAAAGTCAGACTGTCTGACCTTGCCTGCACAGTTCAGGTAGAAATTGAGAAGGAACATGGACAAGGAAATTGAGTTCCCCTCCGGGTGACCCACTACCACACAGCATCCATCTGGGACTGCAGTATGGGCCAGACACCTTCGGGCCCAGGGTCCTGGTAGACATAGTGTTCTCTCGTTTTCATCTTTATTCCAAAATGTTCTGGTTAAAGCCCCACTCCCCACTGTAAGTGTGCACATCTGTCCTGCAGTCATTACTGGGGCTTTGTCTTCTGGAACCGCAGCCAATCATTTAAAGATAGGAGGTGTTTGTTTGTTTGTTTGTTTGTTTTTTCTCATATGCACTTTTTTGGCTTGCTTTTTGGTTTTATCTTGAAGCTGTTAATGGGACATCCCAGATGTCTGAGCTCCTGGGCATTTTGGACTCTGCTTCATCCCAGAAAAAGGAATCCTCATGAATTACAGGAGTGTGCCTGGAGCTTTCAGATTTCAGCAATCAGCTCCAAACCACTTCTTCCAATGGATGATTTTTTTTTTTTTCATTCTCAGTGTATTGGTTTGTGTGTACTGGCTGCCACCCTCCCCCCATTGGCAAGAGGGTAGATGTGCTGCAGCATTGGGGACCTGCTCAGTCTACCAGTATTTGCTAGACGAAAGTGTTGAGATTTTTTTCCTTTGAAGTTGTTTTGTATGAACATCAGCTGTTCCAACAGCTGGGGAGGGAATTAAAATCATTTGAACAACATTGTGTCCACAGACAGGCACAGCCTGTCTCTTAAAGTGGTAAAATAGGATGGGGAAGCATTGTGGGTTGATTTGTAGATTTGACCTGTTAGTGAAATCATTGCTTGGAATATTGTGTTTGTCTGACTGTGTGAGGGAGGTTTCTAAGTCTGTAATTATCCTGTTGGCTTAGGGAGGCTCAGTACATCTTTTGCTTTGCTATCTTTTAGGAGGGTGAGTGGAGAGAGAAAATATTAAACATGTAGGATCTTGTAACCTGAAAAAGCTGGGCAAGTCACTTCCATCCCTGTAAATGTAGTTTTTATATCCTCAGAAGAGGGGATAAGATGAGAGCTGTACACAAACTTTGTGCATACATGGCTTGGGCTGAGCCCAGAGCATTTCTATGTAAATACCTCTGGGTCCAGGCTTGGAAGTTTCTAGCCTCTGTACAATCTAATCTTCTGTAAGCATGGACCTTGAAGGCTTCAGTTTCTAGCCTCCATCTGCTAAGGTAGGCCTAGAATGTTTTCAATCTCCAAAACTTACTCCTGAATAAGCTCACCCTTTCTAATCCTTTCTGAACCCTGGTTGGCTGGTTCAATTCAACTGTTCTGGCTCAAAACTCCTCTACAAACTGACTGATTCCAACTGGCTTCCCTCCACCTCTCACTGAATTGTTCTGCCTGGAAAAACTGTGTCTGAACTCCATGAACTGAACTGCACGAAACTCAACTGCACCTAACTGTACTGTACTCCAGAACTCTACTGCATTGTCTCCATGAACCCCTTCTCTCACTCTGTGCTGCTCTTTAGTAGCTTCTCTTTCCTGTCCTTGTGAGAGTTGGACGTATCCTGTCTCTGTCATTCTTTCAAATCTTTTTCTGGCTTGTCACTTTGTCTGTCCCTCAATTAGATATAGTTTTGGGGGATTAAAGATGTGTAAGAAATTCTAGCCAGAAAGATTAAAGGTTTTTTGAGTCTATATTTCAGCCAGAGGGATTAAAGGTGTGAACTGTGGGTGTGTCTGGATTCCACAGACACAGACCTAGGTCTTTGAATGTGATCCCTTTCCAGAGCAGCCATGTTTCTGGGTTAAAATTCCTCTATAAACCTACTGAGAAGTGAGATCATGAGACTGGGCCTGAGGAGGAAGGTGTCTTTATGGAGCCACAGTTCTCTAGTTGAAGTCTGGGATATGTTCTAGCTGTGTGTTACTGGTTAAAAAGTTGAACTAGCTTGAGCCTTAGTTTTCCAGGTTGTAAGCTGTGGGCTACATTTTGAGTTGCAAAGAGATAGTGAACATGAACGACGTGGCACAGCTTTCAAGAAGCTGGCGAGAAGGCACTGACTGGTATGATGGCTCTTGTTCAGAGGCTTCTTCAGCAGCCTTTAGATAATACATTCATTGTGTTTGAGATGTAAAGTCATGTTGCCCCAATGTAAGATATTTGGGGGGGGTAGCTCAGTTGGTAGAGTGCTTGCCTAGCATGTACCCATGACACCATGAGTTGATCTTCAGCACCACGTAAACTGACCATGATGGCACATATCTGTAATTCCACAGCTCAGAAAGTAGAGCCAGAACTGAAGTTCAAGGTCATCCTTGGCTATCCTAGGACATGAGGGACTCTGTCTCTAGGAGAAGAAGAAGAAGAAGAAGAAGAAGAAGAAGAAGAAGAAGAAGAAGAAGAGGAGGAGGAGGAGGAGGAGGAGGAGGAGGAGGAGGAGGAGGAGAAGAAGAAGGAGAAGAAGAAGTAGTTAGGCATGGCCTGTGCCTTTGAGCAAGCTGAAGCATGCAGCCTTTGCTCCTCATCCTCAGGGTCCTTCTCTGCTTCAGGGTTCATAGGCTCTGACCACTGCTTCTCCTATGCTGCTTCTCCATTGCTACTTCCTACAACCCTGGCTACTGCTTCCTTTCCCAACCTCCTGTTGGGGGCAAAAATAGGCCTGAGGGGTAGCAAAAACATGGAGCCCTGTGGGGACATCCTGCCCTTCATTTTTTACAAAGACTCACCCCCTACACTCCCTAGCAGCCTAAGATTCCTGTCTGGAGGGAAAGGTTAGAAGCATGTCTGTCATTAGAATGGAGGCAGGTATGTCTGTCTAAATAATGGTGGCTTAGGATAAAATGTGGCAAAGATGATAACGGTTTCTTTCTCATGAATGAAGAGCAATAGGTGGACAGGAATGACCCCCCCTCCCCATGCAGATCCTGTCTGCCTCTGAGTTTACCTGTAATTTTCCTATATTGCCACACCTCGGGGGAGGTTGGTTATTGGAAGAAATGCCATCGAAGTGATTTGTAGTAAGTATTTTTCTTTCTTCAAATCAAAGCAACCCTTCATGTCCCCCTTTAAAGCACAATATAGAAGCTTTTATCAGAAAAGGGGAGAGAGTGCCGCTGTTGCTAGGCAACCAAAAAAAAAAAAAAAGCTGCAAGCCCAGTTACAGTCACTATTGGCAAGATTTTCTCAGAAACCTAGCTGTTCTTGCAGAACCCTTTGTGAAGCATTAATAGACATTCATAGTGGGTGGAGAGATGGACTTTTCCTTTCCTCAGCTCCCTAATATCTACCCCTTGCCCACCTAGTCAAGCCTCACATAAATGAGGCTTGAGGTGATGGGTTGGGTTTTGTTTCTTTGTTTTGTTTTGTCCAAAGACAGGGTTTTCTGTGTAGCTCTGGCTGTCCTGGAACTCTCTCTCTCTGTAGACCAGGCTGGCCTCAAACTCAGAAATCCTGCTGCCTCTGTCTCCCAAGTGCTGGGACTAAAGGTGTGAGCCACCGTACAGCCCGAGTCTAATTCTTGACTTCAGTATTCTGAAGGAAGATGCTGTGCAGATGAATAGGGGGTTGGTGACACAGAGAAGGCTACCTGCAGTTTCAAGGCCTGAGTCCATTTAAGAAAATCAATGGGGCCAGGTGTGGTGGCTCATGCCTTTAAATTCCAGCACTGGGGAGGCAGAGGCAGGGGGATATCTGAGAGGTTGAGGCCAGCCTGGTCTACAAAGCGAGTTTCAGGACAACCAGGGCTACACAGAGAAAGCCTATCTCAAAAAAACAAAACAAAACAAAACAAAACAAAAAACCACAACCAAAAACAAACAAAAAAAAGAAAATCAATGGGAATCCCTTTCTCTTTGTCTGGTGGCAGTAATGTAACAGCTGTGAATATGGCTAGTCTTTATACACTTGACGCTTCCTTAAGAGTGTTCCGTGAAGATAATTCTACTCGAAGGAGGTGTTTGTACCCACAATTGAATAGTGATGACATCACTAGATAGCCACTGTAGCCATTGTGTTCCTCTCTACCTGGGCTTGGGTATTTTCTCTCTGGCTGACCATGAGGCCGCTCTGTTTCCTGACTCTGAGGCAAAGTGTCATCTGCCTGTGGGTCCCAGGTAGAGTCTCCTATAACCTGTGATATATTTCTGTTGCAGATTTGGACTCCTTCCAGAGTGAATCCCTAGATCCCCAGGACTCAAATCAACATGGCCCTCAGCCACAGACACTCATATCAGAAGCAAAACTTACTCTCCCAATGGTGACCAGACACGGTGGGGGTGCCGGAGACGGAGCTGAAGAAAGCATTGTTTACCTCTGATGTGTGGTCATTTTTTTTTCCCAAGAAAACAAACAAAACCACTGGCACTTTGTGGCCCAGTCCTTGTGTGTGATTCTCTATGCCCAAATTGCTTTAAGGAGAATATTTAATATTTCATGCATGTTCAATCTTTAGCATGAGTCTAATAATTAAATTATTTCTAAAAACCAGCTCTGTGTGTATCATCTTTAACTTACCCACTTTTAAGTCTCTAGAGGAGAAACTTAACCTGAGCAAGCCGAAGGATATGAAAAAGTTGTTTTGACTTTGAAGTTCGTTATTTCCGTATAGCATTTTGTACCCGTTCATCGGGAGTGTGAAATGCATTTACAGATAATGAAGCCACTTTGATTTATAGAATGATCTTCGCTGGGGTGAACTCCCACGGTCACAGCAGTTGCTTATTGAGATGGCCTCCATTACCCCAAAGAAGGCAGAGGAAGGTATGGGGAAGGCCATTTCCCACTTTGTTCTTATGCGTGAATGTCAGGGGCTTCAGAGTCCGGGTGCTGTCACTCTCTTGTGACCTTTCTAAGAGCCTGTTCTGACTGGGCAGGTGAGTGCAGGGACAGTCTGAACACACTCAGCACCTGAGACGCTAGATCCGTGGCTCACGGCTCACTTTCTTGTCTCTTCAGTGGCATCTTTCGGCCCAGCTTAGTCTGCAGCGACTCACAACTCACTGGTGCAACCCCAGGAGAGAGCCCTCACTGCGGCCTGCTGGCCAGGGGTGAGTGCCAAGGACTACCATTCACCACAAGGAACTCGGTCTGCAGGTCTTAAGGACAAAGTGGCTAGCTCTTGGTGAAGCTTGCTGCCTGTGTGGACTCTTCTTCAGAGGGAAAAGGGGCACTTCTTGATTTCAGAGCACTGTGAATCTCTGTGAGAAAACAAACCAGGAAATGTTCTCATCTTGTTCTTTGGAAATATTTGTATTTGCTCTGGTCACTGTCAATAAATATCTTTTACCTCATTATTTTACTCTGTAAATTTAATATTAAACATAGGACCATAGCAAAACTCCCATTTCACGCACACAAATAAGTCCTAATGGAAAGTGTAAAGGAAGGGGAGGGGGGCGGAATCATTAAATTCTCCCAGAATTGCAGCAAGGACAAGGGAAGACATGATGGGAGGAAAGGGAAGTCACTTGGATTCCAACTTATTTTTCCTGAAGTTATAAATTGTCCGTACTTTATGTTTTTCCAAGTCAAGTCTTAAGGTTTTAAAGAATCTCTTTTTGGGGGAGAGGTTCTCTTTTCTAGATCTTGCTGAACCTATGCTTTTCTTAAAGAGCATTAAAAAGTCTAATGACTAAGTTTTCCCCAGAATGTATAGCCATTAAAATTTGTACTGCTTACTAAAACTCTGCTCTGTTACTTTACCTCTGAGGCAAACTCCTAATGTCATGACACCCACACTTCCAAGACACCTAGGAAGAAAAGTCTTTTCTCTCTCCACTAAAGTTGATCTCAGAATCCTATATCCCTTGAATTGAAAGCTGAGAGTTATTTCAGTCTGTATCTTTGCTCTGATAACTATAAATATCCTCCTTTTTTTTTTTCCATGACAGTGGAGATGGAAATAGTAAAAATATGTAAAGATGTTAAGAATCCACATGGGGTTCTGCTTTAAAATCTGTGCTCAACTGACTTTTAAGCTCTGAAAACCAGAGCCTTCATGCAGCCCCCATGGGACAGCCTGGGCAGCTTTTGAGATACCTGTATTTTGTAGGTTCACCTTGGCTATTCTCTTACTTAGTATTTTGGTGTTTTAACTGGTGCAGCTAAATGTCCAAGCTTTCTCAGGAAGTTCTTCCTTTTCACATGTCTTTACTGTATAATGAGCACAGATTTTTCTACCATCTGAAAGGCTTGTCTGTCTCCCACACCCACTCCTATGTTAAACACATTCTTACCACTGTCATGATAGCAGGAGATGGGGCCTTTGAAAGATGATGAGATCATAATGGTAGAAGCGCCTGTGTAAACGGGGTCAATGCACTTATTAGCAGAGCCTTGGAGTGGCAAAAAGACCTTTTCTGTGACTCGGGAAGTTGGCCCTCATCAGATAGCAAATCTGCCAACACATTGCTCTCAGACTTTGCGCCTTCTGGAATGTTAAGAGATTAAAATTTGGTTTCATAACTGCCTAGCTCATGATATTTTGTTAGAGGAACCCGAACAGGCTATGACAGAGCTCAACAGAGATTGTTGACTCCCACACAAAATCACTAATCTTACAAGACCTCCATTTCCAAGATCATACATATGTGTTCCCCGCAAGGATCTGCTGTACCCACCAAGCTGAAGCCTAAAGGAGGCTGTCATTCTTCTGTCCTGGAACGAAAAGCATCTTGTTCTGTCCCTTCCAGGCTGTGTGAGTTTATGCATCATCTCACGTCCAAGTTACTCTGTTTCCTCAGGAAGTGTAATTGCTCTCTCCATATACTGTACAGCCCTCCCACAGTGGGAGCCCTGTTCTTTCAGGAAACTATAAAACCACTTGCTGCTAAAAAAAAAAAAAAAAGTATATGTGTATGCACATGAGCATGTCATGTAAACCAAGAAGATAACACAATTCAGTCACGAGATAGTAGGTAATAAAAAGGAGTAGGTATTTTCTTTTTCTGTGACCTGAGGTCATTCATGTTCTACCCTCTCTGACTTTGCCGTCATCTGGCAGCAGGACCTGGCAATTGAGAGAACTGAAGCAAATGTTCCACTTAATTGGCTGTGTGTCCTTGATGTTCTGCTTCAGCTCTCTGTTTCTTCGTCTATAAAATATGAGGATAATTACCTTATGGGAGTGTTGTGAAGATTGAATAATTAAGCAATGTGGTTAGAACAAAGTCAGGGCATCACCATCACTCAATATATGTTATCATCTATCACTTTAAAAAAAAAATCTAAAGATTGCTCAGCTTTGCTCCAGAGGTTGGGGAGCTAGCTCTGGCTTTCCAGGAGGTCTGAGCGGGAAATTTAAATGCTTAGAGAGGTCTAGTGATGGGACTGGAGGAAGTGCCCACAATATTAGCCTTCTGCTTATTCGCATCCCTAAATGTCCTGTCACTCATGTGTTCAACAAACATTAATTGACTGTGTGCAAGAGGCCAAGTATTCTATTGGGACAAAATGAAGATGAATAAGCCCGCACACTGGCACTAGCAGATGAGCAGATGATCCCAACAATGGCATAGAAAATGACATGGAGACATGCAGGTTGCTATGAGAACTCACAGGAAGAGTCTGTGGGGCCCAGTGTATGTAGGACTTGGGGGGGAGCAAGCTAAAGAAAGAGACGCCCAAGGCTTGAGTAATAGAGTAGGTGGAAAAGACGTTTCCACCAAGGGGAGAAATACAAGTATGAGTCTGAGTTTGGAAATAGAAAATGAGAAGACAGATGTGGCAGCAGGCATTTGGAGGTGTCTGTTATTTCTTCTCCTGGGTTAGGTGTCCTGTGAAATGGTCTCCTTGCCTCTTCAATCAACCTTATACATGTTTCAGGGAAACAGGGAAGTCTTACCCATCTTTCCCTGGTAACTGACCAGGTTCTGCAAAAGGCCAGACTATGGAGTGGAGAGGAATAGCTGTTTCCACATTAGCATGCTCTTAAAGTGTGACACAGCTTCCCCCCTCTCCTCATCCTATACAAACCTCTACTTGCAATGTGGATTCTAGTCAAATGGACATTGACATCTGCCTCCTTGATCCTAACTTGTCATGAAAAAGAATTAAAGGGGTTCCTGGGACCCCTGAAGATGCAGATTATAGTGGGGTTCCAGAAGAGAGCTTTAGAACGCTTCTATAGGATGAAGCTGAGGATTTGTGTGAGGACCCTCAAGAAAGGACTGTGAAGGGAGAAGGAAAGCAGGGAGGGCTGTTTTGCCCTTCTGTTTTCCTCTGCTACTATATCCAGATCCCATCATCATTTATCATTAGATAATGATAAATCAAAAGAAAGAAAGCAAGAAAAGGAAGAAAGGGTGGATGAGAGGGAGGGAGGGACAGAGGGATGGATGAGGCACATGGATAGAAGATTACTGAACCTTATGATTGACATGAAGAAACTAGAGTTCTTTCCTGACTGATTCCTCTGCACAGATGTGCTTGTGGTGGTTTGGTTGAGATGTCCCCCATAGTCTTGGGTGCTCAAGTACTTGGCCTCCTGTTGGTGGCACTGTTTGGTTTGGTTTGGTTTAGGAGATGCGGCCCTGCTGTAGGAAATATGTGGCTGCAGGCAGCCTTTTCGAGTTTAAGGAGGCGTGCCATTTCTAGTTGGCTCTTTCTGCTCGATGCTTACCAGTCAAGGTGTGAGTCCTCAGTTTCTTGTTCCTGCCACCATACCTGCTGCATGTCTCTCCACTGTGATAGACTCTTATCCACCTAGAACCATAAGCCCAAATAAACTCTTCTGTAAGTTTGCTTAGACATGGTTTTAACACAGCAAGAGAAAAGTACACCCTTTTAGCAGAGTAAGAGAGGCAGATAAAAGATAGCAGAAAGCCAAACAGAGCTCTGTTCCCTGACCGTCTTCTGGCAGTGCTGGCTTCCACAGCCCCAAAGGTCCCATTCACAGATCGTGGCCTCACACTAGGCCACACCTATGCTCCTGGAGTCCAGCGTGAGAGGAGCCTGCTGCCAGCTGGACAGTCCTTCAATGTTGTTTCTGGGCAAAGGTGCTTATCTATAAAGTATGGATATTGGCAAAGGCGGTACCTTGCAGAGCTACAGTGAGAACTACATAAATCAAGGCCAGGACAGAAAATGGCACACAGCAAGCACTCTAAAAAAGTAATAGGGGTGAGGAAGAGGCAGGCATGAGTGTGTTTGAGAAACAAAACAATGGGGGCCTTACTCTGTTTTTACCAGTTCACATTCCTGTGTCTTGGAAGACATCCAAGATCCAAGGGTATATGAGGCTGGGCTCAGAGGAGGAGCTCCAAGAGCTCCAGGGAAGAAGGGATGAAGAATCTCTGAAAGTGTCAGATGAGAGGGTCCAGAACAGGAACCAGAAGCCCCTCCATACATCCCAGTCTCTGGCTGCTGGGTTTTCAGCAGTCACTTCAGGTGGGTGACTGCACATGGTTTGGGGTAGGGGATTGAAGCAGGACCACCACGGTTTAGCAGTGTTGTAGAGGCTTCACGGCTGAAACACATCCACCTGGTGG